TAATATTTATTTTTATTAGAAAAATATCTCAAAAATAAATTCATATATTTTTTAATAAAAAACACAAACTGAAAAAAAGAAAAAAAAATTAAAAATTCATAAAAAAAGGAAAAAAATTAAAAATTATGAATTTATATATGTCTTTTTATTACAAAAGGTTTTTGATTTGTACTAGGATGAAGCAATAGTAAAGGGATACATATGAATCCATAATTTTTTATTTTTTCTTTTTTTTTTAAAGTTTGTATTTTTATTAAAAATATATAAACCTATTTTTGAGATAGTTTTTAAAATAAATAAATATTACATATATTTTTATTTAAAATAAAGTGAGATAGATTTTGGGTTATTGGAAATGGAGATTTAATGAGCAAATTACTCGGTGTCAATAAAACCACAAGTTTTGATTTTAATTTTGAATTTTTTTAACTTTTATATTTTCATATTTTGAGGATTTTTTAAATAATTTTTTTAATTTTAGATTTATCTAAAGAAAATTTTAATTTAAACTATTGGAAAAAAAAAGAAGAAGTAAATCTTTAACAGGAAGAGAGACTGTACAGGAGGAGAGACTGTACAGGAGGAGAGAAAAGATGAATGGAAGAAAAGAAAGTAGATGAGGATTCTTTAGTAATTTTGCAGTTTGAATTGACCACATCACCTACCCAATGTCATATCAGCACCAAGCCATTTCTTGGTAACGGAGTAACAAGGATGTGGACGGAAAGATGACATTTGATGAGGTCATCGTCAGCAGAAGGGCTGATTTGCAGGTTTTGTCAAGTGGAGGGGCTGATTTGCTCTACTTTTAGGTAGAGGGGCTGATGTGCCACAACAATGGACGTAGAGGGGCTGAATTGCACCTTCTGCCAAAAAAAAAAAAATCTTGTGTTTTCCTTTTTGCCGCTTCTTTGGCAGAAAACTTCTGTGGATTCCAAAAGCACATGGCATAATGTGCAATATAATTTGAGGGAAAATCAAAGAATTCAAACAAACAAAATCCAGATATCTCATTTCAAAATCCAAACAAAGCAATGAATTCGGTGCTGTAAAGTTCTTCTTCAGCAATGCAAAATCAATGAAAGCACCCTTTGTAAAAGCCAAAATCTGAGTTCAAATGAACCCACACGTTAAGATTTTGTAAACTCAAAAATCTGGGTTTCCACAAACCTAATTCGAACCTAGATTTGGGTTTGTTTGAACCCAACTCATTTAGACACACGCGAACTCAAATCTGAGTTCATTCGAATCTAATTCATCTAGTTAGGTTCCACGCGAACCCAAATCTGCTGGGTTTGATGAAAGGGCATGCAGAGAAGAGGAGAGGGAAAGAAAGAAAGGGATAGATGATCAGTAAAGGTAGAAGGGAGGGATTTCAAGAATAGATTTGTAAGAACCCAAAATTCTTGGTTTCAAAACCCATAAATCTGGGTTTGTACAAGTCCAAATCTAGGAAGAATGAGGAAAGGAAGGGATAAAAGTGAAAGGAGGAAGACAAAAAGAAAGAGTGCCGGAGAAAAGAGGAGGGGGAGGAAGAGTTGAACGATGGTGTTGAGAAATATGAATGGAGAGAACAAAAAAAAGAGGATTGGCAAAGAAGATGAAGTTGATAGGGGTACAATTGTAAATTTAAAATATTTTTAATATTAAACAATTATAATGAGTTTGGAAATAATATTTGACCTTTTTTTTTGTCCATGTAAGCTGATTGTTTATTGTGTTAGGGAAATGCTATTGAAATAATTATTTTATTTTATTTTTTTATATAATTTAAAATATTATTAAAATAACTGATTCTTTTAATTCATGTGAAATTTATGATATTTAATATATCTACTTATTTAATGACATATAAAAATTGTACAAAAAAATGAGATAAAAAAGTTGTTCTAATAACACCACCCATTGTGTTATCGCCACATCATCAAAAAATGCCATATTGGACAAATTTAATGGTCACGTTGCACTTAACCAACGGATGATCAAAATTATATAGTTCTTAGAGTTGAGGGATTAAAAAAATATAAAAAATAGTTAAAAAACCAAAAAATACAAACTTATAAAGTTGAGTACCAAAATTAACATTTAACCTTAAACTTAATCTTACCCCCACATCCCATTAATCCAAATCCAAATCCAAATCCAAATGAACAGGCCGACCTTTGCTTGACGTAGATAGGACTTGGGCTAATCCGAGAAGTTAAGGGCGAGGGAAGCACAACCCAAGTCGAAGCTTCGCAGAGGATATTTATGTTATCATAATCTGCCACTCCTGAGGAAAACGCAGAGAAAGTACACTAAAATGCAGGGAATCCATTTATTAGAATCAGTTCTCTTCTTCTTGCTTTTCCTAAATCTGTCGCCAGGGACCGTGCGATCTCAGTCGCTGCCGCCGCCGAGGTACGATGGGTTCGTGTACAGCAACCACGAAGTTGACTCCAATACGATCATGATCGAAGCGTTCTTTGACCCCGTCTGCCCTGATAGCAGAGACTCCTGGCCTCCTCTGAAGCAAGCCATCGAGTACTACGGTTCTCGCGTTTGGCTTGTGGTTCACCTCCTCCCCTTACCGTAACTACTCCTCAATCTCTCTATGTTACTGATTTGATTCTCCTTTATGAAAATTAAGGAAGCATAGGAATTGAATTGAAATTTTTGATTTTTGTTTTCATCTGGTTCTGGCGTCTGGCGGTGGTGTTGGATATCCGTAGTTTGGTGCTTATGCGGAAGATAAAATTTTCTCCAAATTTTGATCTGAATCTCTTACCAGATTTTTCCACTTAGATTATGTAAGCAAGCTTCTTGTTCATATCCAGACATTCATGATGGTTCCTGGATAATTGGGTTTTTTTTTTTTTTTTTTAAATAATTTTGAGAGTATGGACGGAGGGCCATAGGTTCAATTTGTGGTAAATATTAGTGGGAAAAAAATTGTTATCTCAATGAGTGACGATTTTGTTGATGAACAATGAACATGGAACAATTAGCTGATGTATTTAGAGAAGATTGGAATGTTTGGGACGGTGGGCTAATCCATGGAGTGTTTTAAGTTTGTGGCCCTTTATGACATTGGGAGTTTCTTTCTGGACTTTGCAGTTACCATGACAATGCATTTGTGGCTTCTCGTGCCTTGCACATTGTAAATACGCTGGGTACCAATGCTACTTTCCGATTGTTGGAGTGGTTCTTCAAGTACCAGGTTGGAATTCCAGCTACAAAATTTTCTTCCTTTCAAGTTATAGTTACAATCAAGTGCTGTTTATCATTGTAAAACTGCTGGCATTCCTTGTTTATTTGTAACTCTTGTAGTGGGATCTAAAGCTTAGTTTAATATGAAATGTTTCATCAATGACTAAAGCTATTCTTATTTGCCGTTAATCCAAGGGTATATCAAGTTTTCTGCTATTAGAGAAACACTGTTACTAGAGATATGTCAGTATTCCTCTCTGTGAGTATCTTAGCGGTTGGTGCTTCTGACAGCATTCTATTTAGCTTTGATTTAACTCATTTTCAAGCTGCCTTTCTATATTATGAATTATATGTTATAACAGTCTTGTGTTGATAGTTCTGAGATTCATCACCCTTGCTCATTGATTCATTGTTGTTGGCTATAAAGCATGAAACTTTCCATCCCTATACAAATGAAAATAAAAATTTATGTTTTATTGTTTGTGTTCCTTTGCTTACCTCTTGATAACATATGCGTCTCCATCTCTGATTTTCTACCAAATTTTCTTGTTTTTGGGTTGCATCCAGAGGGTGTGGTGTGTGGACTGAACTTGTTGGCTATTGTTAAACAGGAAAAGTTCTATAATGCCCAAACACTCAACATGTCGAAGGTGGATGTGGTGAATGAAATCACTAAGTTTGCAGCAGAGGCAGTTGGGAACTCCTACTATTGTACAATTGAATCTGGCTTCAATGACAGGAAAACTGATCTTCAAACAAGGGTTTCTTTCAAGGTATAGACAAGCATAATCAATCTCTTATTCCCTCAAAACAAGCTTTGTTTATGTCTTCTTTGTACTAGTTCTGTTCCAGTACTTACAAGTTACCCCGAATATCTTCCATCGTGCAGTATAGTACATCAAGGGGGGTGTATGGCACACCTTCTTTCTACATTAATGGATTTTCATTACCTGATTCTGGTTCCTCTATTGATTACAATGGATGGAGAAGCTTCATTGATCCATTGATTGGCGCACAGGGAAACAATGTCAAGAAGTCTACTCATTTTTTCCTGCGATGAATTTTGGTTATGCAGGCCTTAGCTCTCTTGTATCTGCTTTGTGTAAGATCAGTATGATGTTGAAAACCACCATATTCCAGTAGTCTTAAATTTTCTGCTGTACCAGAAGCGAGCAAAGATATTCACAATAAATGTGCTGGTTATTATGTAGTTAATGAGTTTGCTTTTGCAATTTGGATCTTTTTTCTCCATATTTACAATTTGATCTAACTATATTTAGATGACTATTTTTTTGGATGTAAATTGTAAATAGGATCTAAATATTTTTCACGAAGGTTTAAAAAGAAAAGATTTGAATATTGATATATATATATATATATTTGGTTATTAAAAGTAGAAGGTTTGTCAATTGAGATCATAAGGTGTGGTTAAACTAAAATGTCCAAGTTAATTTGTAAGGACGTTTATTGTAGTTACAACTGAATCTTTTTTGTTTTTTGTTTTAGGTTGTATTCAGTTTAAATTACTTTGGGGATCTAGTGGGGTCAAGCCTGCAATTAAGTCCATTAAACAAACTTTAATATTGTTAAGGGTTTAGGGTGGCATACTGGCATTCGAGATTGCTATTTATCGTACTGGCTGTAATTGTTTTTGTCTGCTGTGGTATTATGAAATTGGATGGTGTTAGGGAGGTAATTTTCTTATATTACATTTTTATATAAGTTTTATATGTTATTAAATGAGTAAATATATTTAATATTATAAATTTTATATAAACTAAAAAAATTAATTATTTTAATGACACGTTAAATGAGATAAAAAAATTATACAAAAATTATTTCCCTATAAAATCTATGTTAATATTTTGATATAACTTGTTTTTATGGAATATACTAACCGATTAAAACCTTAATTAATGGAAAGAGAGTTTAAAATCTAGTTGGGAAGCACTTTTTTTATTAATAGGTTAGCGAATTATTTTATATACTTTTCTCTTTAATAATTTGATAATTAGTTTTTATTAATTTCTTTATAATAAATTTATAATATTTTAAAAGTTTTAATGTATTATAAATTGTCCTTTCAAAAAATTTTTTTAGAGAATTTATT